AAATTTCTCTGTGTAGGGTTTCTCTGTGTAGCCTTGGCTGTCTTGGAACTCACTCAGTAGACCAGGCTGGCTTCGAACTCAGAGATCTGCTTGCCTCCCAAGTGCTAGGATTAAAGGTCTGAGTTCTTAACAACAACAACAAAATAAAAATAAAAAACAAACAACAAAAATTACAAGAATTTAAAAATACAAGAAAATCACAGTTACCCGAACGCACACTAATGACTAGCAAAGTAACTGCCCAGTGGAACACAGTTCTAACTAGAACGACATTTTAACACACTTGGCCTCTGCCCCCCCAGAACACACAAGAGAGGTTTGTTTTCCACTTTCCCTAACACTTGGGTCATCAGAAAGGAATTTGGGGAAATAAGTGTCATATATTTGATAAAATATATATAAAATCTCATGACCCTCTAAGACTCATTTTTCTTGGTGTACTACAAGCACTCCAAGATTATATATATATATATATATATATATATATATATATATATATATATTAAAATAGAAAGCAAAAATGTTACAGAAATCGGTATTATTGTTTACAGTTACCAGTCTCCAGAGCTTTGTTTTTGTTGTTGAGATGGAGTATTCACTCTGTTGCTTGGGCTGCTCTCAAACTCACAGGATGATCCCCCCCTCACCTCCTCAGTACCTGAGACAGTTGAAGTGGCTGCTTATCTATTCTTACGCTATTAGTACATCACTAAAACTTGTCTTCAATACTGATCATTAAAATTAACTTTTAAAAGTTAATTACTTCGAAAATTGTTAAGTAGATTTAGGCAGTTTCTTCATAAATAAGTATGTGGTTTTAAAATTGATTAGCGCCTCCTAGGCCATTTTACCCTCTTTGTGCCACTGATATTTGCACATTGAGGGAGATGAATATTTATAAAAATTCTAAATTTTAAAGCCTTCTCCTTTCTCATTTCATTATTCTACATAATTAAGATTCCTTCCACATGCTACTCTAAAAAGCGGCTGTAATGTAGCAAATGTTTGTGTGGTGTCCACAGTGGCCAGGCCTGAGAGGAAGGCCCCAGGCTGCAGAAGCTCCAGCTCATGGCTGAGCTGCCCATAAATCAGGCCTGAAGAGGAAGAGCACACATGTGGAAGCCAGCCCCTGGCAATCAGAGGCAGACGCATCTGACCTCATGAGGAGCTCGACCTGAAGAGGAGGGCATCCTGGGGACAGTCTTTCCTCACACAGAGGAGGCGCTGAGAAGCTACTGGTTGTCCGAGTCCCATCAGAAAGTGCTGCTGACAGAGGCAGCTTCCTCGGCCTGACCCTGGCACAGTCAGGCTTACGTTGTACACTAGCTGATCAAATGTACTCCTACTAGCCTTGAGTTCAACCAAAGCTTACTACCAAAAGACAGCCCGACTTTTAACGAAAGCTCTCAACACCTGAAACTTGTTTTTGAGCCCAGGTGTAGAGAGGTTTCCCTCAAAACCCCAAGCCGTTTCTCGACTTTCCTTCAGTTTGAGCTTTTAATTAGGCCGCCCAGGGCACTGAGCGGTTCAGCTTGGGAGGCTGGGGACAGGGCTCCTGGGACATCTCTCTGTGCCTGCTGCCCATTGCCCAGGGGCTACAATCCCACAGTCCTTTCTACCTCATCCCTCATGCTTCTGGTCAGACACTTATCTCCAAAAGCAAGACCAGGCCCTGAAAATCGAGGCAGACTTGTTAACTGACCTGTTAGCAAAGTGGGAAAAACTAATAAGGAAAAAAGACCATTCTGAAAAAAAGGGCTAACCTCAGACCTCCAATCTTTTCCTCCTCTTGCCCTTAAGTAAAATATACCTCCTTTGGCATTTCACTTAAGGTCTAAAACATTTTAAACCATCGAGTGCCTTAGCCTGGATAGCAAGAAAAGGACAATGAAGGGATGTTTCCAAGTGATCTTGATAAGTTCCACTTTCAGGGACGTTGGGAAATAAACCAGTTATTTGGGGGTAAATATTCATTGTATTGATAGAAATATTAAAGCAACTCCATGCAGTTAAAAGGGAGGTTTATTTTGGGGGGTAACTTACAACAAGTAAAGGATTAGGTTACAGGGTCTGGGAGAGGTAAAGTGCAGTCCAGCAGTGTTCTCCAGAGAACTCTGCTCAGTCTACCATCCAACATGCAGGATTACCAGAAACCAAGAGAGCCGGCACATCCGGATCTCAGGTTAAGGGCTCCTGTCTCAGCCCCACCTCAGCGGCAGGCCATAGGTAGGTGTGACAGTTACCAGAAGCCTCACTGTGGGTAGTACTTCCAGGTCAAAGCTGGAACAGCTACCCCACTACAGTCTAAAACATTTTAAACCATCGAGTGCCTTAGCCTGGATAGTAAGAAAAGGACAATGAATGGATGATTCCAAGTGATCTTGATAAGTTCCATTTTTAGGGACATTGGGAAATAAACCAGTTATTTGGGGGTAAATATTCATTGTCTTCGATTTGGCTGTTCCTGGTGACTTCGGTGGAACTGGACAGTAGTTCTTTTTCCTTCTGAGAAACTGACACAGTAATCTCTTTGAGGAGTATCTGGGCCCTAGGCCCCTAACTCCTCTGAAATATCAAGTTAGAGTGGGAGTTCCACACGGGATCCAGGACATTGAAAGAAAGTGGAATGTGATCCCTAAGTGGGATCCTGCTTGTGAACTACAGTAATATCCCCCAGATGGGGCAAAAAGGGAAGCTAGGCAGGACATCCATGGCACATGCCCACCAGTGTGTGGCTGTTCCGCAGAGCTTCTGTGTACTGGTCAGATTGGCTCATCACATTGTGGACCCTTCCTCTGACGTATCAGAACCCACCAGATCCAATTGGGAAGCTTTTGACTTCTGATTGAAAACACCGAGTTCTCTCAACATGGTATATGACAGGCCGACAACTTACGAACTCCAGACACTATGGGATGGAAATTAACTTGAATATGAATCTTTCTAAACATGACAAGAGTTTTCTTTTCCTTCAACTTAGTTTCCTGCCCCCCTTTTTCTATTCTGTTGCTAGTGCTGTCCCCATTTTAAGACCCAAATTCAATCTGAGGGAGCCTCTGCCTGCTTCTGCGGGTTTCCTCCAGTACTGCCAGGAAGTGGTCAGTCCAGCTGTATGTGCAGCTAACATGAACTTGGAATAGACAGATTTAGAGCCCGACTCTAATGCCACCATTCACATCACCCCAGGCCTCTTCTGTAAGTCACACTTTTCTCATCAAACAGGGAGAGAAACACCTCAGGGCAGCTGCAAGCAACATGAGATAATGGAGCAGAACTGCAAGGTAGAGAGCCAGCCTCGGAATGACAGCTCCCCACCCAGCAGCTGCTCTGCTCTACACACGCTGGAAAATCTAGACGCGAAAAGAGGCATCTTTAATCTACCAGCTTGGTAATGCAACACACATTTTATAATCTACATCCCTAGGAAAGTTCATTTTACAGTATTGTAACCATAATATACGACTTTCTCTTTTTTAGTATTTAATTACTTTTCCTCGTTAACATGTAAGGACTCTAATTACCTTTTACTTTGTTGCATGAGATTTCATTAAATGGATTACTATAATTTAACCACTCAAGTTCTGTCAAATATTTGAGGTATTTGGTACTATAAATAATGTTGTAATAACATTTCCACAAATACAGCTTTTCCCTTCTGTGACAGTCTTGCTTCAGGACTCATTTCCAAAGCAGGTGTTTGGGGTGAGCCTGAGCTCTCCCATGACTTCCACTAATTTTGACAAACTACTTTCCATTAGTTTGTCCAATTTGTACTTCCTCTCCAACCTCATAAATGTCATTCTGTTTTACTTTACTTTTTTTTTAAATATTCAAGATTTACTATGTAGTATAGGGTGCCCTCAGACTTTCATTCTTCCATCCTCCACACCTGGCTAACACCCACCAGTGTTATAATGTCCTTTCCAGTATGTCACACTGATGTCGGGCATCTTGTGTTCACCAGGTACATGCACGCACGGATTGGAGTTCTTTGCTTCTAATTTCATGCCCTCATTACAAACCTCTGAAATAACTGTTAGCTCCCCTCTGTTCAGATGAGGGTGTTAAAGTTCAGAAGCTCCCAAGCTGTGGCTGAGGTCACACAGCAGCGAAGTGTACTAGACTGGAATTCAGACCCTAACCCGTGGCTGTCCTGCCCTGTGCCTCCTCCCCATCAGCAGATGGCTATCCTGTTTGAATGTGTGGTTTGTTGATTCCTAGCAAAGCTGATCGTTCTCATACGCCATTTGTCATTTGTTCTTTAGCAACTTCTACAGAGAGATGGAGTGAGTCTGTCCCCCACATATCATTTATCCATCATGTATCTGCACAGCCTTCTCCCAGGAGACCCCATCCCATCTTGTTGATTTCACCGAGATGTCAGTTTATAGAAGAATGTTGCCTTATTTTCTTCCTCCTCCTTCCTGATAACATGAGGGATAAAACGTTTTCTACAACTTTATATCATCTTTTCACATCATTCATGCATGTGATTTGGCTCTTTGATTGGCTTGGAATGTCCTGTCATGAGTGACAATGAGCCCAGGTGATGACAAGCCACAAAAACATCATTATTTGACCAGTTACCAAGAATATATTTATCTGGTCGGTTGGCTGAACTTTTTTGTTTTGTTTTGTTTTGTTTTATCTGGCTTGGCTTGGTTTGGTTTCGAGACAGTGTCTTGCTGTGTAACCCAGGTTTGTTGAACTTACTTTGGATCTTCCTGCCTCTGATTCTTGAATGCTGGGATTACAGGCATGTACCATTGCCAATCCTGCTCTGCCCTACCACCCATCTCCTTCAAATTTCTCTTCTGTTGGGACTCAAATGTGGAAGTGTTTGGTAAATATGTAATCCAAACAGTATGGCAAGCCTTTGAGACTGCTCTTTCATGATATCCAGCAACACCTTTAAAACTCCATCGATTTACTAAACAAAGCTGTTTTTTATCTAATAAATCTAAACTTGAGCCACCCAATTTTCAAACACACCCCAGTACCTGCATTATGCCTTGCAATATATGCAAGTGCCCAGGCTGCAGCTTCCTTGACTCCAGGGTCAAAATCTTCCAAGCATATCACCAGAGAGTCCAGGGCGCCACAGTCAACTATGGCCTGTGCCAGCTGAGGAGAGTGTTTACCAACTGCTCGCAGCACAAAGGCAGCTGCTTTCTTGTAGACACACTACAGGGAAAAGAGAACAAACCCAGAATCTAAAATAGCCTGAAAGTAACACAGAACATGGCATTAACGTAAAGCACAGTGCCTCTGAATGCAAACAGCTGATTCTTTGATATCCCCCATTGCTTCCGTTCAGTAACTAACCTGGAGGAGAGGCAAGGTTTAAATTATGCTGCAAATGTTTTACTCTGAAGCATGCATTTGGAAATTACATAAAATCAAATACAAACATGGCACTTTCTGCAAATTCATAAAATAATGGAATTTCTGTATCTGCTTGATACTGAAAGGTTCTGCTTGGCTCCTGGGAACTCTAGAATGTCTCTGTCCACTAACCACCTCTTTTCCTTTACTTCCTCTCAACCTCTAAGCACAGCAAGCTCTCCCGACCTCAGCAAATCATCCTGAATAGCAGCTATGCTCCAAGATACACCTAGCAATCACAGGCAATAAGGTAAAACATTCACACTTCTAAAACTTCTCCTGCTTAAAAAAAAAAAAAGAAGAAGAAGAAGATAAACAATAGGATATCTTATTTTTTCTATCCTAGAAAGGCTTTTTTAAAGATAAAAATCAAGCCAGCCATTGTGTGAATTGTGAATGCTGCTTCATATGTATAGTATGCCCTGTATATAAATTTCATTTGGCTAGGGAATAAAAAACTGCAAGTGAAACATAGAAGTAACATGTTTCCCTCCATTGGCTAAAAGGTTACACACGCAGGAAATATCTGGCTACCACACAGTTGTTATGTGACTAAAATAATAGAGAGGTGATCTCATAATTCTCTGTTGGTTTCATCGATTATTTGTTTTTTTTTAAGATAAGGTCTCACTGTGTGTACTGGGCTGACCTGGAATGAACCACACAGCTGACGCTGGTCTTGAACTCATAGAGATCTGCCTGCCTCTACCTCCTGAGTGCTGACATTAAAGGTGTGCGCTACCATGTTCAGCTGATCTCACTATCCTTATTAATATAAAACACAATCAATCTCCCACTTGACATTGCCAGTTTTGAGTTCTTTATATTAACTATTGTCTTGGTTACTTTTCTATTGCTGTGAAGACACAATGACCAAAGTAACTTATGGAAGAAAGAATTTCATCAAGGGCTCACGATTCTCAAAGGTTATAGTCCATGATCATCAGGGTCAGCAGCAGGGCAGCAGCCAGGCAGGCATGACTCTGGAGCAGCAGCTGAGAGCTCACATCTGATCCACAGCCAGGAGGCAGACAGAAAACTAACTGGAAATGGCTAGCACTGGCTTTTGAAACCTCAAAGCCCACCCCTAGCGACACACCTCCTCCAACAAGGCCACACCTCCTAATCTTTCCCAAACAGTTCCACCAACTGGGGAAACAAGCATTCAGATACTTGAGCCTAAGACGGCCATTGTCCTTCAAACCACCACACTACTAAAGAGGGAACAGCCAACTACCTTCTCTGAAAGATTTCTAGTCACTTAGGCTAAAAACATAAACAATAAAAATATCAGGAAAAGAAAACATACCAAGTGTATTTTAACAAGTTATATCTTAAACAGTGGCACATGTTAATATAAAAAATATACTATGCTAGTACTGATGTTTTAATGTGGCATATTTCCTTTTGTTTCCAAAATTATGTCAAAAACCCAGGCTCTACCAATTTATTCAAAATTAAGGTAGACTTTTAAAATAACTTCTTTTTTTTTAAAGATTGATTTATTGATTTATTGATTTATTGATTTATTGATTTATTATGTATACAATGTTCTGCCCACACACATCCCTGCAGGCCGGAAGAGGGCACCAGATCTCATTACAGATGGTTGAGAGTCACCATGTGGTTGCTGGGAATTGAATTCAGAACCTCTGGAAGAGCAGCCAGTGCTCTTAACCTCTGAGCCATCTCTCTAGCCCCTTAAAATAACTTTCTAAAGACTTAATAAATACATCATGAAATTCCCATCTTTATTATACTTTATTTACTACTTTATTATAATCATAAAAATAATGTTGGCACATTTCTTGTCATTATCTTAAACTAATTTGACTTTTATTCTGTAGAATTACCAATTTATAATGGAAAGTTATCAATAGCTACCTGCTAACTACCAGTGCCTAATTACACTTTCTGATCACTTTCTCCTGTACATTATTAATGTTTCACGTTCTTATTCCTATAACCAAAAGAATTGAAAACAAAAAGTAAAATCACAGGGCCGCCGGGCGGTGGTGGCGCACGCCTTTAATCCCAACACTCGGGAGGCAGAGCCAGGCAGATCTCTGTGAGTTTGAGGCCAGGATGGGCTACCAAGTGAGTTCCAGGAAAGGCGCAAAGCTACACAGAGAAACCCTGTCTCGAAAAACCAAAAAAAAAAAAAAAAAAAAATCACAGGGCCTAAGTGACAAATAGGGCGTGGTTTGCAGCCACTGCAAGGTGGCAGAGCCTCATGGGTAATAATGCCTCGCATTCTTGTTTTTATTGTAGTCAAGCCCCCTCCCTCCTCACTTCTCTACTGTCAGACGTCTGTTTACAACCAGTGCACAGTCATTCATACTCGGCAAACTGTCAAGACTTTACACACGGGAGGCAAAAGCATGAAACCTGCTCTCCAAGGAAAGACTGAATGGTCCAGAGGAAGAAAGCCTGGCAGTCCATATGGAGCAGGAACACCCACAGAAAAATGAGATTTCTATAATTCCTCTCAAAGGCATCAGAAATAAACTTACAAAATAAAACAAATTTCTGTAGTTAAGATGTTTTAGTCTGGTAAAATAAATACATCATGAAATTCCCATCTTAATTGTGATGCATTCCTAGTGTGTGCAGATGTCCTGCTGTGTGGTTCGAGAACATTTTCACCACCCAAGAATCCTTTACAGGGCCAGGCAGTGGAGGTGCACACCTTTAATCTCAGCACTCAGAGGCAGAGGCAGGCGGATCTCTGAGTTCGAGGCCAGCCTGGTCTACAGAGCGAGATCCAGGACAGCCAGAGCTACACAGAGAAACACTGTCTCAAAACCTACCCCCAAAAAGAATCCTTAAAAGTAAGTAGTCGCTCCTTCGCTTCCCTTCCCTCAGCCTTCAGCACCCAGGAGTCTGCTTCTGCCTTATGGATTTGCATATTCTGTATATTCATATAAATTATACTATGCAGTCTTTTGTGTGTGGCATCTTTCACTTGGATAATGATTTAAGAGTCATCCATGGTGTGATATTTATCAGTCCCAGTTCCTTGTTCTGACACAGCTGCAGTCACTGTGTGGGGAATGGGGTGGATGGCATTCTGTTTTCTCACTGATCTGTTGAGGGACCTGCACTGCTCTCCCGCCAGACCACTGAGAGCCATGCTGCTCTGAACACTTGTATATGACTTTTGTGAGCATTTCATTTAGTTCTTTCTGATGCATAGCTAGAAGAATTGCTCGTCCATATCATAAACCCTGTACTCACTACATACCTGCAGAATTACTTTCCATAGTGATCATGCCATTCCACATTCCTTCCGGCAATAGCCGAGGGTTCATTTCTCCACATCATCACCACACTGCTAATTTCCCTTGAAAATATTTGTCATGCTCATCCTGATAAGTGGGCCACACCATGATAAGTGATACCACACCATGCCTTTAACTTGTACCTCTTACCAATGCTGCCAAGTTTCTCTTTGTTTGTTCACCATTTGGAGATGTTCTTTGGGGCAAGTATCTATTCAAGTTCTCTGACCATTCTTCAGTTCTTTTTTAATTTTTTGTTAGATAAGTAGGAATCTAGTCTTAAGGTCATCAAAAGAAGGTGTATACCTGCATTATGATAAACTAAGAGTGGAATGAGTAGTCTAAAACTCTACTTACAGATACCAAATAGTCAGAGAATAACACCAAAGTGCTCTGTGTGTGCATGTGCGTGCATGCATGTATGAGTGTGTGTGTGTGTGTGTGTGTGTGTGTGTGTGTGTGTGTGTGTGTAGACCAGAGGTCAACTTTGGGGGTCATCCTTGGGAAAGTCTTCTGCTCCTTTGAGATAGTGTCCCTCTTTGGCCCAGCTCATCAATTGTGCTAGACTGGCTGGTCAGTGAACCCCAGAGGTCCTAATGTCCCTGCCTTTCATCCCCAGTGCTGAGATTAGAAGCATGTGACACTGTGCCTGCCATTTGTACACGGATTCTGGAGACTGAACACGGGTACTGGTGTTAATGGGGCAAGCAGTTTATGGACTGAGCTATCTCTCCAGCCCCCAGAGAGTGTTCTAAAGAGAGTTAGAATGCTTGTTTACTCGGGAAAACGCTTTCTCAATCTTTCCATGTGACACAGTCTCTCCCTCAGGGCTGTCTCTCACTTTTTCACCTGCATGCAAGGGTTGCTGAAAGCAGTGATGCTCTTTCCCAGGGTGCCAGCCTCTTCCCTGAGGTGGATCCTAGAGCTCTGAAGTATAGAGAAACGCTGCATATGTCTAACCGCCTGGACTTTTTGCATAGTCCTCTTAAATTAAAAGTAATGGAAAAAATCCTATCAGTCCCAAAGCAAAATTCCCTAAAGATGTTCTCATGCGCACATAGGAATCCAAGGTTGTATTAACATCCTAGTAATTCTAATGCCTTCAAGTTTACAACTGTGCCAAGGTTATCAATTTTTTAAATCTAAGGGGGAAAAACAAAAGTTTTTTAAAAAAAGGCTTACATTCTGCTCTGCCAATGAATAGACAAGCTGTGGAAGAATGTCGCCCTTCACAACTGCTTCTGCTAAGTCATCATTATAATTGGCCAGCCTCCCCAGAGCCAAGGCAGCAGTCTGTTGAATCGTTGGGACCACGTCCAGAAGAAGAGGCCTCAGCAACGACATTATACCTGAGTTAAAGTATGAAAACCAGAACTCAGCAAAATTTTAATTTAAAAAGCAAACCATGTGATTCAACATATATACAGTGAGAAAATGAAGGTTTAAAAACAAAACAAAAATCAGTAAAAAAAAAAAAATAAACAAATAAAAGTGAGCTAGGCATAGTAGTACACACCTGTATGTAATGCCCTGCTTTCAAAACGCTGAGGCAGAGGAATCATGAGTTCAAAGCTCGCTCTCTCTCTCTGTCTCTCTCTGTCTCTCTGTCTCTCTCTCTCTGTCTCTCTCTCTCTCTCTCTCTCTCTCACACACACACACACACACACACACACACACACACACACACACACACACACACGAGTATTCAGTGAAAACTAACTGGATACTTATAGAGGTATCTAACTGGTCAAGACACAAATCATGCTAGCCGCCAAAATTACTAACACAGTGGGAAATACAGGCTCTGGAGCTGGATGAGAATTCACATTTCTGACTCAGCAGGTAAACACCTATGATGTCATCAGGAGGAATGTGGAGAGAGGTTAGAGCATCTGGGGCAAAGCCCAGGCCCCAGCCCACCACCTTTGCCAGTCCTCTCTCTCAAGGATCATTCCAGGTCCTTTGTTCCATTCGGTCTTCTTTTCTGACTGAACTACATTTTATTACAGAAAATGTTTTCAGGCTCTATCTCAGACCTGAGAGCCAGGAGAGTCATTGTGCCTGGCCAGTACTCATACTCACAAAAGGCACAAGTGGATCTTTAAGCAAACCCTTGTGCTAAGGAAGCATAATATGTCACTAGCTCTCCCATAGTATTTGTGCCAGGGTTGACTACACAATGGCCATGTAGCCATCATCACCACAGGAAGTCATTTATATGGACCGGGTGCTTCATGCAAAAGCATTGTTCTGGGAGCCTCCTTCTATATTATTGGGTTAATACTCACCCAACTCTCACGACACACCTAAGGACTTGGTCCTCTCTTTATGTCCATTTCAACAATAGAGAACTGAAGCTGGGCATGACTAAGTATATTGTCCACAATCAGGAACTAATGGAATGAATCTAGAATTCAGACATTCTCTATTGATAATTAGTGAACAAAGGTATATTGGGAACTGAGGAGGCTGGGGAGGGGAACCCAATAACAAATGCTTATGGTTACCTTACAGGACATTTCAACTCTTCATACTGACTTTATCTTACTATCTAAAGCTGGCAAAGTGCCGAGTGCTACTTCTGCCTTAATGTCACTACATAAGTCTAAAGTTACAAAGGATAATGACAGCATTCAAACTGGAGCAAAGTGCCCCTTGACTTTCTAAATGTTATTTAGCATACACATTTATTAAATTTCCTATCACTACATCTATTCTTTATAAATATATCCTGGTGGGGGCCAGCAGCTCGGCAGGTAAAGGCACCTGCCACCAAGCCTAACTACCTAAGTTCCATCCCCAGGACCCACATGGAGAGAACCAACTTCTTCAAGTTGTCCTCTGACCTCCACATGTACCCTGTGGTACATAGACACCCACATAGACACACACATACACATTACACAAAATTAGTAAATAAAAATATAATAATTTTTATAAAGAATATATATGTATTTACATATGTGTTTTATATATATATAGTCTTGTGATAGACAAACTCGAATATTGCCAAATATTCTTGTGTCATTTTATATTTAGAAACATTTGAAAGAGAAAAAAATAGCATTTACAGTAACACGAAATCAGACCAAAAATAGCACTGCCAAATAGCATGAGCTAGAAACAACTATGCTTGTCAGGATGGATTTAATTATGCAGCCTGTGAGTCTTCCTAGTGTCCCAGTTTCATTTGGTTATTATTTATGTGTTTAAATTGGCTGGATTGGCCCATGCGCTATAAGACCACAGCTGCCTGTGTGGAAGAGGCTGCCTGCTCACATGTGCTTCGGGATCTGTGTTAACCAAGCCCCGACGTTCATGAATGCTGGTTATTCTTTTATCTAGACCTCCAAATACAGAGAGCATCAGAAGTCTTGAGACAAAAGTTTGAAGCACAGAATAAAGGATTAAAATAATTACCAAATGCTGACATGGGTTATTTCTGGAAAGATTCTAGATATTAAAAATATATATATTTCTTTTTAATACTTCATTATTTGTTTTGTTTTGCTATGATAAAATACAAATGACAAACTTACCATTCTCGTTTTTAAGTATATGATGAATGTGTTGTCTGATTACAGTGCTATTTAACAATCACCAGCTAAGAACTACCTGTCTTCCATAGCAGCTACGCCACAAAGGGCTCAATATCTCTGCACCCTCCCCATCACAGTTAATCTCCATTTTTGAAAATGGTGGCTATCCTAATGGGGGTGCATCGATACTTCACTGTGGCTGGTCTGCATTCCCCCAGCTAAGGCTGTTGAGCATCTTCTCACGTGCTTACTGGTCATGTCTATGTCGTTCCTAGAAAAATGTCTATTTAAATGTTTGGCCCCTCTCTTCATTGGGTTGACTTGTCAAATGTCATTTGCCATATTTATAAATATATGACAGTTTTATTAAAGAGGCCAACAGCATAAACAGTAAAGTATCACAATGAATGCACCTTTGAGACCACAACCAGAAAGTTGCTTAAAATAGTTTTTTAAGAACCACAATGTGGTTTTATGTTTTTTTTTCCTTTTTCCAGATGAATCTGGCATTTCTTTTTTTTTCCTTTTCTCTTTTTGATATATGTATGTGAAGGCAACAGCTTGTTGTCTTTTGAAATATGTAATTGAGAAAACAGTCAATACTGTGTTATTCATATTGGATTGCATTTTAAATTAAACTCTGAATTGTTAGGGATGTGAAAAACAGCCAGGCATGGTAGTGCACATCTTTAATCTCAGCACTAAGGAGGCAGAGGCAGGAGAATCTGTGATTTGGAAACCAGCTTAGTTTCCGTAGCACATTGCAATCCAGCCAGGGCAGCATAGTGAGACCCTTCCCTGTCTTTAAAATTAATAAATAAATAAAAATTTAAAATCTTACAGTGAATTGTTATCTAGGGTTATAATATTTAATTATAAGTCTTTATTATTAACGGTTTGTTAGTTACAACTAACCAACTATAAATCTCCCAACTTTGGAAGTTTTCAGTTTTTATTTCACCAGTCCACACAGTCAAAGGAAATTTCTTCCTTTTATGTTTTCCTCATTTTTCAAATACATCTGGCTCATAAAATATTAAGCCAGGGCTGGAGAGAGAGCTCAAAGGTTAAGAGCATTTGCTGTTCTTCCAAAGAACCTAAATTCAGTTCCCAGTGACATCAGACAACTTACAACACGTGTAACTGCATCTCCAGGGGACTCTGAGAATCCACCCTAGGGGCACTCTTCTGCCTCCTCAGGCGCCTGCACATAAGTGCACAAAGCAACACACACACACACACACACACACACACCTTTTTTAAAATGCAAAGCCAATAAATGGTTGGTAATTCTTTTTCTTCTGTTCCTTTGCCTCAAATCAGAGTTCACTTTCTATGTCAGTTTATCTGCCATATCATAATATTTCTAAATTCTTTATTTTAGACAGAAGCACAATGCAAATTTTTTAAACCTCCAAAATTACAGAAAATAGGACAGTCAGTTTGAAATACTTTGAATAACTTTTTTCAATAAATGACCTTGAGAAGGGTAACTTTTTATTAAAGAAAATAAATTTTCAAATATTGCCCCAAATGTCTACCTTCTAAATTACAGCTTATGCTTTATACGTCTTCAGGCAGTCTTCAGGCACTTCTCTTTACCTGGATGTGTTCTTACCTTTCCACAGGCATGGAGACTTCACTATTCTAAGTTTGGGGTTGAACATGTACCTCAGTGGTAGAGCACTCACTGTGCTGCCTGGTCTTCTGTCAACTTGACACAAGCTAGAACTATCTGAGAGGAGGGAGCCTCAGTTGAGGAAATGCCTCCATAAGATCTGGCTGCAGGGCATTTTCTTAATCAGCAATTGATGGGGGAGGGCCCAGCCCATGGTGGGTATGCCATTCTTGGCTGGTGGTCCTGGATTCTGTAAGAGGGCAAGCTGGGCAGGCCACAGGGAGCAAGCCAGTAGGCAGCACCCCTCCATGGCCTCAGTATTAGCTCCTGCCTCCAAGTTCCTGCCCTGTTTGAGATGCACCCCTGGCTTCCTTCAGTGATGGACTACAAGGTAGAAGTGTAAGCCAAACAGACCTTTTCCTCCCCAGCTTGCTTTTTGGCCACAGTGTTTCATGGCAGCAATGTCTATGACCCTGGGTTTAATCCACAGAGACATATGACAGAGGAGACATATGAAGGGGAGATAGGTAGGTAGGTAGGTGTGTTCCCCAAACATACAGCTATGAGAGGAATGCTATAAAAACAAGCACTCATTAAATGAAGAAGGAAAGTGACAGAGACAGTGAGGAAGGAAGTAGGGAAAGTAAGGGAAAAAAACAAACCACAGCAGCTTTCTTCTTCCCGACTGTCCCTGAGGACCCCGCAGTCACAATGAGTGCACGGAAGTAAGAGCCCATTGGGGGGGTACAGCCTCTGGTCACCAAGCCTCTAATGAGGGGCTCTAACGCTATTACCAGCATTTCCTGTGAAGGCCCCAGCAAGCACGAACAGTTCTAAAAATCAGTTTTTATTCTTCCATAATTAATACACATATAAAATGAATTTTGGTCATTTCATCCCACCCCACCCCCATTACCTTTTCCTGTGGCCCTCTCTCTCCCACTAAAGTCCCCCTTCATCTCAGAACGTCTCTGCCCTGTTTTGATGTCTTATGTGTGTGACCCACTAGGTTAAATTAGGACTATTTGCATGAGCAAGGTTGGGCATTATTTATTGGCGCATGGGTACCACATCAATGGCTACACCACTAAAGTAAGATGACACTATCCCCTCCAGCAAAATCAATTGCCAATAGTCCCTCAGAAAGGGGTGGGGCCTCACAAGCCCCTCCCTATTCATGATGAAATGTCCA